CAGTACGTTTTTTTTTTTTTTGGTTTTTTTTAATGGTTTGTAATCGGATGGGGTGTTTTCGTTTTTATAGATTTTGAGTTTTTACCAGGTTAACAATTTTGGCGCGCACCTGCCATTCAGGTTGCCCGCCGTGTAGTTCCTGAAGATCGTCGACATGCTCTCAGTTCCAGAGATGTTTCCTATCGTGGAAGCGTTCCTCCTCATGTAGTCCATAGCATCCCTCATCGCCAACTTCGAGTATGTCTCTAGAATCTTCGGTTCGGCTCCTTGATGATTCCTCACCAAGTACGGTCTGATGAATTTGTTATCGAATCGCTTGAATCTGAAAATAATTCGATTTTCAATAACTGCTTCGCTATACGTCGTTTTATTATATTTTTCGTTAATCCGATTGGTCAGTTTGGAAAATTCACAACTGGCTCGTTGGTCTAGGGGTATGATTTTCGCTTAGGGTGCGAGAGGTCCCGGGTTCAAATCCCGGACGAGCCCACTTCTGTTTTATTATTTTTTTTTGTTCAAACAATTAACAAAATCAATTAAAACAAAAACAACCTGAATCACAGCCTAATCAATTTAATTAATTGATAACACTGTTATAGAAATATATAGATAAGATAATAATTAATTTGATTATGTATGCAACAAACAATAATGTAGTGTATGAACTATTGCATACATTTGCATTAGAATCTCATCTCATTCAAACTAAATAATAATAGAAATAGCTAATTTTTCCAGCGAATACTGAATAAAAATTGGAATTTCCATATTAATTTCTGATTGAAGACAAACATGTTTATCATAATGGAAAGTAATTAAAAAAAAAAATTGCAACAACGAATTATTATAATTTAGTTTACAATGAGTAAAGCTAACGCTTGTGTCCGGTTTCACTAATTGCCGACTCGTGCATTGTTTGCATACAAATATTCATTAATTAAGACTCGAAGCTATTAAGTTTCGATGAATTAAGCGCACTGGAAATACTTGTGACTCAAGTGTAGAGGGAAAGAAAAAAGCAAACAGCAATTACAATGATCGATATACAAAAATTTCCAATTGATCTGGAATACGCAAACATTCCCATAATTTGTGTTTTGATACAAAATTGTAATAAATTCATTTACTATTTAATTCACTTATATTTTGTAACTGGCTATTAATTATTAAGAAAAAGAAGATTTATTTCCATAAAACTATAATTAGTAATGAATAAAAATTAATTACTGATTACTAGTTATTGGGAATTATTGGTTTTAACTGAATTATTATAATGATTGTATTTGTTTATTATTTGAACAAATGATTCAACAATGTAAATGATAAAATTAGTCATAAAAATTATTTAAAGAAAAACAGTTTACTTATATTATTGGAAATTCTCATGTTTATAAATGTCGCATATTTCTTCAATCAATTTCTTCGACCAATTTTTTGGTCGTCCTCCCCCACTTTTGACTGTGCTGATTTGAACAAATGTCAATTTATTTGACGTTTTTCATTCTTTTATAGAACCTGTTTTGTACCTGTTATAGAGAATCTATCAATTTATGATAATTTCTCCATTTTCTAAAGATTCACAAAGTATTATTTTTTTTTAAAATATTTTTTTCATAATACAAAGAAGAATATTGAAGTTGTTGAAATTTTACACAATGCATGCTATTTATACCACTTTTCATACCGGAAATCCAAAGAAATCTAAGTATTTTTAAGAATGAACTATGAATTAATAATAATAATTCCTTCATTTTTCTATTATTATAGGTGTGATAGTTCTGACTGCAATAGCAAACAAGTTCAGACTGCATCAGCTGAGCACCGTCGAGAAGTTCGTGATGTCGTACGGCGGATTGAGAGGAGCCGTAGCCTTCGCCTTGGTTCTACTCATAAACCCTAAAGTCGTGCCTCGCCAACCCATGTTCATGACCACGACCATCGCCGTCGTCTACTTCACCGTCTTCATCCAAGGCATCACCATCAAACCTCTGGTGAGGATCCTCAACGTCAAAACGGCGGAAAAACGTAAACCCACAATGAACGAGAGAATCCACGAAAGGGTAAATCATTAGCAAATTCTCTTTAACTCACTTTACTCATTGATTACTCGTGTTACAGTTGATGGACCACACCATGGCTGCAATCGAGGACATCTTGGGACAACACGGAAACTACCACGTCAGAGATAGGTACGTTTCCAACATCAAAAAAATTATTAAATTACGTAATAACGCTTCCTGTATTTTATCAACTAACGAATCGCGGAGAAGTTCAAGCTGAAATAATTCCCCTGAAAAGCTGAATCAATATTTTTATTCGGTTTCGGGCGACCTTTGATTTTCTCTCGGCCATCGTCAACTGCGATCGTCTAAAAATACTCATTCCTCCTAACTAAACTTACCTCAATATTGATTTATTTTTTTTGTCCTTTAATTACGTCCACGCGATTCCCTTCACAAAACGTTCTTTCTTCGAAACAGGAATACGGAGTTAATAATATAAAAAAAAAACGCGCTTTGATGTTGAATTCCGGTTTGAACATTTAAATTACTTATTTCAATTTAAATGAAAGCCAGTTACAAAATATAAGTGAATTAAATTGTAAATGAATTTATTACAATTTTGTATCAAAAGACAAATGTTTGCGTATTCCAGATCAATTGGAAATTTTTGTATATCGATCATTGTAATTGCTGTTTGCTTTTTTCTTTCCCTCTACACTTGAGTCACGAGTATTTCCAGTGCGCTTAATTCATCGAAACTTAATAACTTCGAGTCTTAATTAATGAATATTTAAATGCAAACAATGCACGAGTCGGCAATTAGTGAAACCGGACACAAGCGTGAGCTTTACTCATTGTAAACTAAATTATAATAATTCGTTGTTGCAAATTTTTTTTTAAATTACTTTCCATTGTGCAAGTTACTTGACAAATGTTCAAAAATTTCATTTACAACTAATATTATTGCACAAATACTTGTAC